GCAGGAAGGCGACGGGACAACCGCACAGGAAGTGGAATCTGATTGAGACGCATTAGGCGGAGATGAGGTCATTATACTGGATCCTCCAAAAGAAGCGAAGCCAGGTGTTAATGCAAGAACACTACGCTTTCATTAGAAGATATTTGTATGGAAAAGCCCCAAATGGTAGACGTCTAACTTTAAAACCTGTCTTAAATTCCCCCTGCAGCAGGCTGATTTATTAATAACAAAATGTGTTTTGGGATTTTACGGTTTCCCGCCATCCAAAATGAAACCCTGGACCTCAACTTTAAGGTCATGGCCTTCTCCGAAACGCCAACTTTGGGTTAAGAGCAACGTAAGCATGAAGAGATAAGCTTTTTTTAGGTCAACTAAACATTGTAGTTCTTGTGAAATTCAAAGCTCAACTGGTCCATGCGGTAAAAACGCATGGGACATTTTGATGAAACATCCACAGCAGTTGCTCATATCCAGTAAAGTGGGATGTAGGAACCCAACCAATGTCTGTAACAATCCCGCAGCCCGTGTTTAGCTTTGGTGCCATGGGGTAGCGCACGCCTCCTCCCCCCTCGGACAAAAGCCACCAGGTCTATCTCCCCCATCTGACCGCGTGGTCCGCTCCACCACGCACCTCGCCGCTCTTATCAACAGCAAGGCGGGCCTCCTCCTGGCGAAGGCTGATTGGAACACGCGTGTGTTCGCTGTGTGGTGAAAACCTCTTATCTCCACGGTGTCCGCTTCCCGTGACCAAAGAAAACGCTTCGGTTCAACCGGACGAAAATACGTCCTTTTGTTGCTTTGAGGAGACTTTCCAAATCGGGAAAAGGAGGCTTCCACTTGACAACTGCGACAGACACAACCACAAGTTGATAGAACGCACGAGTCGAATCCATGACGCCTGACATCTCCTCTGAACTCTGGCAGTCTGTTAAAACCTCGGCCATTCCTTCGAATAGTGATCTCCCCCCCGCAACAATGAATCGCTCAAACATCCATTAAATCTGGCTTTAACTTGCATCGCCTCAAGAGGAGACATATGTGTCGGCGCCGCCCTTTGTCATGGTAATTTTTTTAAAAAGGAAAAAAAAGGGAGCGATATGGTCACTCAGACCCCCCCGACCAATCTGCCCTCCTCCGGGCCAGCAGGAGGACATCAGCGATCCACTGCAGCGCCGTGTGTCCCGCCTCTCACTCTCACCTGCTGGGCCGGGCCTCCGGGACCCTCGCTGGATGGAGCAGCCATGAAAGGAAGTCATTATGGCTCCTCGCAGGATGCTGCAGACGGCACGAGGGCGATCTGTTCTCAGGGTCAAGTGACGTGCTTTTAAAGGTTGGTGCTGACAACTGCAGACGGATGATCCAGATAGCCGTGAAAATAAAAGTTCTAAGGATTACTGCCACAACCATTTAACCTCGTGGGTTTTCACATTTGAACATAAATCAAGTGTCCGCTCAAAAAAATGTCCTATAACAGTCTAAGTGTTAAGGATTGCCATATCAATGGTATTCATATATATTTCATGTTAGAGGGGACGCAAACACATTGTTCTAAGGAGTACAATCGACATGCATACATGTAATAACTACATATAATGTCATTGCCAATTGTCTTGCCCGGTTTTAACGCATATATCAAGTCTAATCTCTACCCTCCGTTGCCATTAATGCTGAGTTTGCCAATAAGGTAATTTAATTAGCTTCGAATCCAAAACAATTAAATGAGTTCCCGCACAGCACTGCGCATAGCAGGTTTAGGGTCAGCCCAATTCCCAGAATGAAATTACAACCAATTTAAATAATTCAAATGAACTGGGGAGATTACATATTTTCGAGAGTGGAGGAGGTTGAATTAATAAAGCTGATGAATCCATCAACACATTGATTTAATATCGGAGCTCTTCTCTCCTGAAGGCGTCTGCCTAAATGGAGGATCTTGGTTTATTTACAAAACTTAGTAAACGTGAGCAGAGGTGATCTGCGACCGTCTTTTTATATTATTGGTGTTCCGTTCCTGGGCCCAGATGAGCTTTCATAATGAGTCTAATAAAGCCTGTTTTTACACAGAGCCTGATTTAAGCCTTTATTTGGAAAGATACTTATTAAGATAGGAGGTCCTTATCTCAGCGGCACACGGACAAATCGCTCTCAGTGTGCACTCATGTGTGTTCACGGCATATAAAAGGACTTTGCACGCTCCAAGTAGCACCACAATTTATTTTTGCCGGGTTCTCCCGCTGTGAATGTGGCTTTAAGAGATTCTGCGTTTGGACCTTTTCGCCCTTTTCAGAGCTGTAGCTAAGAATGAAGGAGCTGGCCACAATGAAGAAAGAGTGATTGAGAGAAAAAGGGTGCAAGAAAACAGAGAGCGACAACGAGAAAGGTGGCCGTGGATGAAAGTGAGGTATTCAGGATGAAAAGGGAAGAAAAGACTGTGGCCTTGAATGACTTGCACACACTCTCACAAACACCCACGTTCTCTTTATCCCTCTGCGTCGCTTTTCCCCTGCTGGTGTTTTAAATGCAAATGGATGTAATGTGAAGAAACGACCACCAGAGGGCAGCAGAGTGTCTGTGTGAGGCCTGACTCTCTCTGATAACAGTATGGGAAAAGGTTAAAGGTCACAGCGGCGTGTCATTTCGTTTGGTGACACGCTAGTGATGGAAATGCCACAAACACGCAGACACGCGCCCTAGAACACGCACAGACACGCACACCAACACATTTACGGACTAACACCTTCAGATTCTGAAGATTGTGCCAGACATCCCGCTTTTACACACACACACACACACACACACACACACACATAAAGAGCTAAGCACACAGCACCTCCCTGGTGTCTAGAGACGCGGCCCGGATGTTCCTTTGTGCCTCCTGCTGCTGCATTATGGATTAACTCTTTGTTTCAGGTGCACCCAACATGTTTGTGTGCTCAGCGCCAACTGGGTCATCCTGCTGGATGTTTGTGAGGAGCAGGAGCCTCGTCAACACTCACACTAGGTCCAATGTTCAATGCATTTTGCGTTTCGGTGTCCCTAAAGTTACAGCTAGTTTCAAGGTCTGTATGATTTTACTCTACTTTTTAGTTGCTTTTGTCAGTTCAACTTTGGTTTTTGGATTAAGATCTCAAGAGACGATCCCGGTTCAACGAAGGTGAAATAAAATAAACTGAGTGTGGTAAGAGACAGCAAGCGCAGGAGGAGGCGTTGCTGCTACTGTACCAGCTGAAATTGGTCTCTCTGCCTCTCCAGTGATGGATTGTTCCATCGAAAATGAGTTGGTGAGCGTTATTACCTCCATAAAGGTGGTTCTAAGTGCTTGCAATATCACTGAAGTAGAGTCTTTGTGGCACATATTGTGTCTCCCAAGTGGACCATGAGGCATTAAAAACATAAAGCAGCCTTGTCTCATCTCACTTTGCCCTCAGAGAAGATTGGATTCACTCCGAGGACAAATAGTGTCTGTGTACCAAATCAACATGTGTAATTCTGCCTCTCGGGCCTTCACTGTACAGTCGGTCTTTAGAGTGAAGTCCAGCAGACAGTCTACAGAAATGAGGACAAAAGAATTGAGCTATGAGGCAACTAACACTGATGACCTGTATTAATTGTTTCAAGCAATTATTGCCTGCTGAAAATGAGCTGACTAACATCATTTACAACAAGGAACATTAGTTTGAAGGGGACATATCTCATCATTAATGATTGAGTGATTTATTTATTACTTCGGCAAACATTGTAAACATGAGATTATGATTTCAAGTCTTCTTTTATACATACGGATGTTGTCTTTTCAGTCGAAACTTCTGTTAACTGGTTGCCAAATGTCACAATGGCGACAACTGGGCTTCAAAACGACTCCGTCCACCTCTTTCATCCAGAATATGGATGGAGCTTTAAAACGTTTTTAGAGCATTTTCTGATGTAGGCAGCAAATGAAAAACTGACTGGGTTGTTTCGCACCAGATAGCCCAAAACATGAGCGCAATCATTGAGAAAATAAACAAATTGTCTAAAGAAATATTCACAATGACAAGAAAAAAACGCAGGCGTAAGGTCACACTCACACAGTCAGCAGTGATGGATGAACACATGACTGCAATATTCACATCACTGCTGCTGGTCAGGAAGGTCAAAGGTTAACACAGCCGTGGGGGTGGGGAGGAGATGCATCATCAGCACCACAGGGGCGGGACAATGACAAAGTGAGCGAGAAAGTCATAGAAAGTAGGTCAGTGAGGAAAAAAAGCTTATTAGTTACTAAACAAACGCCACAAGCAGCGGGCACGTGCCACAAGCAGCGGGCACGTGCTACAGGCAGCGGGCGCGTGGCACAGGCACCGGGCACCGCTCGGGCAGCCGCGTCCTCTCGTCACCCGATCATCACCATCACGCCAGACTGAGATCGGTCTCTGGAAAACAACGGCTGCTGGATGCCTCTTTGGCTCCAAGTCCCGCCTACCGAGAAGACCAAGTTTGCCAAATGTGCGCATGCTGGCCCTCTAACACAAACACGCACACAGACACCTCCTTCCCCTCACTGCCTTACATGGCGTTAAAAAGCATCCCATCTCGCCGCAGCAGCCGATTGTGTGGGGTTGCTAAGTGCTGCCAATGTTTCACACAAACACAGTGGAACAGCCACCCTGATACTCCGCTACGCTGCCGTCCTGGACGGCGGAGAAGCTGCCCGCTTCCTCTCCTCCCAGGAGAAAGAAATCACTGCGTTTGGCTTTACGTTTTCTGTTGTACTAAACTAAGTCAGACAAAAAGCAGTGAGATTCTGCGTGCTGAGTTACAAGAAAAGTGATCATTCGCAGTGCTGCAGTTACCTCAAGGTCTTAGTTTTGTAAAATTATTATTATATATTATTAAAATCCCTCATTTTTAATATGAATAACGTAACGTAGGCAGTGAGCCGTCACCGTGGGATGACGGAGATCTAATGAAAAGAGTGGATGTCACAGGGGTGGGTGGAGGTGAACGTTTTCCATCCTGACCTTAGAGTCTTCTCCCTCCTCTGACCCCGGGGCAGCGCCCGGCGGGGCGGCGTTGGTCTTGATGGGCGCCGAGAGTAGAGCTGGAGCCGACGGCCGGCTGTGGGTCTGCGGGATGGGCCGGGCGCTGTGCACCGGTTTGGGGAGTCCTGATTTCATCTTGGAGGCCACCAGGATGGCTGGCATCTTCTCCCCCCGACCGCCCGGCAACCGCACGCTCCCTTCCTGCTCACGCCGGGTTTGGAAATTCTACTACTTCGTCAGCAAAAACTCCACGTTGTCTGACATATGGTCCGGTTACTTTCGGTACGCGGCTGGAGAAACACGCGTGCAGTTTGCACCTGATGGAACCACCGGGTAGAAGGAATGTGCTTTGCTGCTCCTGCTGGGTCTCAGCAGGGGGTGAGCTGAGCTCCCGGACATGCAGCGGGGGGGTTTAAGACCCACGGATTCCACCTGTTTCCTGGTCTCAAGTGGCTTCAGCCCTTAATATGCTAGTAGAAAAGACCGGATCCTCAACACAGTGTCCCGGTGAAAGCGAGAACATTCAGCTAGAGGAAAAAGTCCAGGAAGGAAAATCCAAAAAAGCCGACTGACTCCGAGGATTCCCCGGTAGCGACCGTTCCCTTCCACTTATTTCCACACGGACTGAGAGTCAGCGGCTGTGCAAACGGATCCTCCAGCAGGCAGAGCAGTTCTTCCTCTCCCGCACAGCTCTGTTAATCACACCCTCGCTTCAGCCGACGAGAGATGTAGAGGAGGGGGGGGGGAGGAGAAAGAACGTGCAGCGACCGCTCGCTTCAAGGAGCGCTCAGCCTGTGAGCGCCGCGCTCCCTCTAAGTCGTGGTGAGCAGCAGGTGTGGCTTAGATCAGGGCTGACATATGTGGAGGAAGGCTCCTCCAGCCCGCCGCTCCACTTATCTGTTGGTCTCACTACACTGTCACACAAAAATGGCCAACTGGTCGAGGAATCTAACCTCATTGTAAGATAAAAGGGGTGACAATTCATTTTGTTTGCTTGTGATGGACTTGAATCCGATGATAAATTAGGCAAATCTGGTCTCCATGTGGGTCGAATTAAACTTGTCATTTCTGTAGCAGGGAGCTATCACACTAATATACCTTCAGATACGTGTTTGTTTTATGGAAAATTGGATGAAAGGGGTAATTTTCCGAAATCAATGATTTGAACAAAGGGTGGCCATTACACAACGTGGTAGCGATAGCGACCTGTCAATCACAAAGTAGCCCCGCCCTAAAGCATCCTTATAGTCTATTCGACTCTAAATGGAACATCATTTTACCCAAATAAAAACAACGCTGTATTAAACCACAAACTCATGTTTACAATGTTCACTGAGGGGATAAATCAAGAGTCGGCCCCTGCTGGTGAGTAGAGAGAATGCAAGTTAAAGGCACTTCAGTGCGAGATGTTGCCGCCTGGTTTAAAGTCGGGTCTAGCAATTAAACTGGCAATGGTGAGAAGCACGTCTAGACTCAGCCATGTCACAAAAAACACAATGACCCATTGTAAACGGATTGATGGATAGAGGAAGTTATGAAGTCAAATCTTTCATCCAAAACAATGTGATTTGCTTCATAACACGACAACACAACATGATCATTAAGAGGCACTTATGTCACCGCCAGAATTACCAAAAATAAAAGGAAACACTAAAACTCTCAATACTAACATACAACCCGTGCTTATAATCAGAGTAATATCTATAATGTGTCAGTGGCCAGTGCGTCCTGAAGAGTACAGCCGACCAGGCGGGACACTGAACACGATGTATTAATAGACTCTCTTCTCTGTCTTCTCTCCCTCTTCTGGCTCTATTACGCTTTTCCCTTTTTAAATATGAGGATGGCCAATTAGCAACGAGTGTCAGATGGGCCAGACTCCCAGTGGACTGAATGAAGGCTTCTTCACTGTTCACTCGAATTCTGCTGCAGAACCAGAGAGAAAAAAAAGGGCAGGGGAGGTTCTGCATTTCCCCTACAGAGAACAACAAAAAAAACAAGATCATCTTAAAGCCTTTAGATACACTATTCAGAGCAGCTAAGATGATTCATCCGTCTGAATTAGAGGTGCGTCTAGGAGGCAACGCAAAGGGGGCGGTGCTTAAACCGATGAAGAAATTAGGGGTTATTCTCTGAGGGCCGTGAATGCACGTACGTGAATTTCATAGCCACAAATCTCGTCGTTAACGTGTCATTAGCTCTTTCTTGTAATGACAGAGAAAGCGTCGTAAACACAGCGGCTGCCTCCAGCAACCCGAAACAAACAAATTAAGACAAATTACCCGCGTTAAGAGACAAAAGAGGCGCTGAGTCACTGAACACTAGAAAGCTTTTCGCAGTGTTCCTGTTCGAGATCCGCTCGCCTCACACAGCAGCCATAACGGAATTAGTGAAGAGGTAAAGATGGACACACACACACACACACACACACACGCATGCAGGCTCTTAACATGGAGTTTATAAGTAAAATGATTTAATCCAGGAGAGGATGTTTAGTATGTTAATCTTAAACCTGTTACATTAATCCGAAATTATGTAAATACTAATATCTTATTATGCTTTTGTGTGGCTTGTGTGTGTGTGTGTGTGTGTGTGTGTGTGTGTGTGTGTGTAGACGTGATGCAGAGTGTCCAAACATTTGAAATAGTTTGTCATTTGCAGTTATTTCAATCAATGCACAGGTTGTACATCTCGGTTGGATTCTGGATTCTTGCAGTATTCATCCAGTCATGCGTGAACATTTTCAGGTTGTCTTTTTAGCTCGACATGCTAAACTCACTGCATGTGATAAGGATCTCAACCCGACAGAATAATCCATTCCATCCAATCCATTCTAGATATTTACCTCTTGACCATCGCTAGGTGCAGATTGCAGACAATGCAGTAGCTGTTGGGGAGGGAAAACACGCCCGTATCCTGACATCAAAACACACACTGAGTGAAACACAGGAAAATACGGATGGAAAGAAGAGAAACATACAGAGTAAAGCATAACATAACAAGGGAAACTTCTATTATTCTCCTTCTATCCCCCGTGATAGTAAGCAGACCGTCGCAGAGCAGGAAAAAAAGAAGTCATCTTTGATTTATGCAGCAACCTTTGAAGCTACCTGATGACAGTCCAGAGCAGTCTAATAATAGAGCCGCTTTGGCTGTAAATGGGCGGTATTGACAGTAATAACTGGGACACCCACTGCCCCTCTGCTGTGTGTTTATCCTCTATTTCGTCTTAGAATAACAAACATGTGTGGGGAACATGGGGGGTGTTTGCTGCGAGCTCTGTCGCTATGGAGAGAGATGATTGTCAGCAGAGCATCGTGCCAGGATGTGGCGTTAAAGTACGGCGATGAAGTGAAACGATCATAAATCTAAAGTAACATTTAGCTATATATGTATTTAGCGTTCAGTGGATCAAAAGGAAACGCGTATTTCATGACTTACACAGCTGACGATGTATTCGCCATGTTTTCATTATGTAGGCGCCGCAGAATGAAGCAGCACACACACACACACACACACACACACACACACGGTCGTGGTTGTTTTCATTATCAGAGATAGCAAAGCAGCACAGGAGGCTCTCGCTGACCACAGCTGCACTAACTGGAGCAACGGCCACCGTGACAGCACAGGATCTACAACCTGACCTACACACACACACACCGGTCTCTCTGCTCGCACACACACAAAGTTATTTACGGTAAGGAGCAGTGGCAGAGCTGTAAGGCCCGATCACAGGGGGCGGCAGCAGGACTCTGGCATGGCTCAAGTGACACTGTGTGACGCACACACACACACACACACACACGTACACGCACTACGTATTCAGCACAAATCAGGGGAAACGAGTCCTGTTTGCTGATGAAACATGAAATGAGACTGAGGTGTAAGGTGAGAGAAATAAGAGGGGTCATGTGACAGGAGAGAGAGAGAGAGAGAGTGTCTGTCAGCGGGGATCCTGCTGAGTGTGTTTGTGCCCTTTCCCAGCTCCAGCTGTGGCAGATGTGTATGTGGTCTAAATGTGTCTCTGGGGCAGTGAGAGATGAGGGGGGGGCACATGCTCTAACTTTCCTGTCAACATCAAATACACACCAATAGCCGGCTATTTTGTATTTATTCTGTGATTCGGTTCACCTTTGAAATGTCAGTTACAAGTTAAGGGTTGTTTTACACTGTTTAGTCCCGCCCTAATGTGCAAGAATGATTCTTTAACTCTTCTAACAAAATAACGGTGTAGTATCACTCGTTCTCGCTGCAGTTTCATCGTGGATAAATCTCAGACTGCAATATATTGGTCATTTGAAGAGTTGACGAAATATCCAAAATTTTTCCGTTGATTCTCATCAAGTTCCTCAAAAAGAGAGACGGAGTAGAAGAACAGACAACAGACGGATCTCCACTTCAGCGCAAGAAATAACGCAACCTGTGTAGCGTGAGCAAAAGCAAAGAGACTGGAGCCAAATCCTAAAATCGGAACACACGCACAGTCAGACACACGCACACACACACACACAGTGGTTAAAAGCGAGACATATGAGACAGCTGCACCCAAACAACCGTCTTAGTGCAGTAAACCGGGGTGACAGATATAAGGCAACCGGGGAGAAGTCAGCATGCGCACAGCTCGGAGGTGTGTGAGTGTGTGTCTGTCTATGTGTGTGTGTGTGTGTGTGTACGTGCGGTCATGTAGACAGAATCTGACCATGTGACTCAGGTCCTACTGGTTGTAAGGATGCACATTTTTGTCCGAGGCAGAGAAAGTGAAGCAGCATCTGAATAAAGTGTCGCCTCCTGACGGAGTCTGCATAGTTCAGCAGCACTGATCAGGCGTTGATTGCTCATTTCATCAGGATTTCTATCCCCATGTGATTATTACACAGCATTTGCGGCTGCTCTTTTCTTTAATGTTGACATTTTCAATCATTAAGCTTTGGCCCGTCTTACTCGAGAAAGGAGCGCGTGGTGAATATTTCATGAACGGACAAGGGCGCCGGAGAGGACGGCGAATGTCTGAGCGCTCTAGAGGACGCTCCAAATGATATATTTAATGTTCACCAGTCAACACTAGCTGGTCGACCTCCTTTCGGCTTTCTAGGATTCGAGAGAAGTCCCACTGAGAAGCCGCCTCTTGGCCTAAATATCCACGACGCCAGCGTGCGACATTCAACTACATCAGAGCCTCCTCCTCGGGGGAGAAAGTCAGCGAGATTTTTTTTAAAAATTGCATCAAGTAAGAGCGCCGCAATAAACCAGGCGTTGTAATGTGAGCCTCCAGGCTTAAATGGCAATTATCCCACAAACTGCTGTGACACAAAACGACTCAGTGCTTCTTACTCAGTGACGAAATGCGACAGAAACGTGAGACAGACGACAGCAGAGCTTCAGAAAACTGCGAGAAGCAAGAGAGCGGGAGAAGGAATGGAGGTCGTGCATTAGAGCAGCTTAAGGAGAAGTTGATGCACGGTGAGTCATTTTAGTTTGCACTTCCACCAGTGGTAAAAAAAGAATTAATTCATGGGTATCCTCATGAAACCATCCATTAAGGTAATTAGCTTTTTTTAAAACTTGTTTTCTGAAGTGTATGTTGAATCTACTTGTATTGTAGACAACAGGCAATTATTTGCTTACATTATTCAAAGCAAAGTTAACATTTAGCCAGTAGAAAATACATTAATTATTGTAAAAAAAAGAATTGTGCCTTATTGTAAAATTCCACTTTGGCAGATGAGTAAG